TTGTTCTCTGTCATTTCTTCTTACATACGCCTTTCATCTGATATAATTATTTTTACTTTGGACCAAGGCTCAACTGAAAATAACATTGTATTTTTTTGCTGTTACTGTAGTCTTCTTTGTCTTTCTCAATTGAAGTGAGCTATATTGACAATAAAAATTGTACACGTTCAAGATGAATAATGCTGAGTTTTTATCTGTGTCTATGTTGAATGCAATTACTATAATCAGATTAACTAAAACATGATTTCCTACCACGATTTTTCAAAAAGAGAAACAAGATCTACTCCTGGGAAATTTCAGGCATATAATACAGTAACTACTTAGAGTCATTATGCTGTACTTTAGTTTCCCAGAGTTTATTTATTTTCTAACTGAAACTTTGGAGTTTTTGACAAAATCTCCTATCAATCTCACCGCACAGCAACCACTGTTCTATTCTATGTGTCTGTGAGTTTTAACTTACTCAGATCCCACGGGGACATTTCAGAAGTTATCTATCCACCCGACTTCATTCATTTAGTGCAATGTTCTCCATCCATGTTGTCTCAATGGCAGTATTTCCTTTTCTTAAAGTGCTGAATAGGACAACATATTGCATTTTTTTTTACTGCGACTGTAGTCTCCTTTGTCCCTTTAAAACATTGTGTGTGGAGGGAGAGAGAGAGAGAAATGGGTGGATATATAGATATTTGCCCACTGGCAGACATTTAGGCTGTTTGCATATATTGGGGTTACTATGGATAATACTACAACAAACAGTTGATAACGATACTTTTTTGGGACACATGACTATTTCTTTAAGAATGTACACTCAGAAATGGAATTGCTGAATCATATGGTTGAATCATATGGCTGAATATAATTTTTAAATTTTTGAGAGATTATTATATAGTTTTCACTAATAGCTATTCACTTCCATTTCCACCACAGTATACAGGGTTTCAATTTTCTGCACACCTTGGACAATATTTGTCAAATATTGCTGTGTTGCTAGTCTTAGTCATGTCCTTATTGCTCGAACAAAATACCCAACACTCACAATTTAAAATAGAGAAGATTTAGCTGGCTCACTGTTTTCAGAGGTTTCAGTCTATAGTTTTCTGGCTCCAAGGCAGAAACAGTATGTTGGGAGGACCTGAGCAGGGAAAAGCTGCTCACATCATGGCAGCCAGGAAGCAGAGATTGCAGGAGGATCTGAGAAGGGAGGTATCTCCTTCCGGGTCACAATCTGTGACCCCCCCATCTCTTGAGGTCACAGTGCACCTGCTGACAGTAAGGAACCTATAGTGCCTCACTGTCCAATGATCTTCCAAATACATCGGGCTTTGGGATCATATTACCTTCAATCGTGACATACATTAAAATTACATTTATCCTGAAGCGGCACAGATAGCAGGTGAATGACAGGAGAAAGAATATACTAAAGAGGATGGAAGAAAAACTGTGAGGACCTTCTCAATTTTATTCTTACAATAGTACTCATTAGTGATGCTATATTTCACACATCAGTTGAATTCTGTTGCAGATTCTGTAACTGTGGTAGACAAGAATATCTCACAAAATTTACTTGAAGATTAAAGAAGGATGTACAGATATTGCTCGCTATAAGTTCATAGAGTGCAAATGTTAAAGCTATACATTCACTCACTCCTCTATGTCATGATCAGATATTATTTCTAGTGGAAAGTGTTGATGTCAGGATTAATGCTAGTTAAGATTTGAAGCTAAAACATCACAGAAGAAAATTTTTTAAAAGACTCAGAAAAAGTAGAATTTCATGGGAACCCTCTGTTGGCTTCTTTGGCTTTCTTAATTGTATTCCTTTTCAAAGTCCCAGAGAGGCTTTATTAACAGAAATCTTTGATCCAGTCCCACACGAGCACAGGCAAGCAGGGATGACCTCACTGTCCCTCCTTCTGAGCACATTTAATCTGCCTGCAGCCCATCAGCCCACCTGGACCGGGTCTGCAGACAAACGGAGAGCGCTGCAGGAGCCAAGGGCGGCCAGGGTTCTTGACTCCTTGGTCTGCGCCTGCCACTTCCTATTAGTTGTCAACAACATTACCTTCCTTTTCTCTAGCATCTACTTTTCTAAAGAAAACAAAATGTGCTTCCTTCTGAAAACTTCAAGTAACATCAATTTACTTCAATACACAAAGAAATGGGATTTTTATTTTCAAACTGTGTAGACCTAAGAATGTACTTCACCTTTATTTTTAAAAGGATGCATTTGCTTTCCTGAGACTGAAATATTGCAGAGAGAGTGATCTGCTTTGTTCTGTTGGGGTGACTTCTGAGGATGACCATAACACTAGCAACAATGCCTCAGGTGCGTTTATATTTCCTGGGTGAGTGGGGCTTCACATCCAGCTTGTGGACCACAGAGGGAGGGTGGCAGTTCCAGCACAGCAGAGGCACTGGGTGGTCTGCATCCACACTGGGGCAACACAGAGTCCTCTTGGTTAGAGGAGTGGCATTAGGCTGCTGCTCTGATAACCGAAAATTTAGTCTGCAGAAAGCGAGATAAGAGAGTAAATACTTGGTAGGCTCTTGGGAAAGGGGTGAGGTGGCAAAGCATTAGAACACTTCTGGGCCGATGTCAGCCTCAGATTCTTCCTGTGGTACTGGACCAGCACCACTAACAATCCCCAAGTTAAACACACGGCCAGGTAGCTTACTGGAGACCTGAGCATTAGGACAGTGAAGGTGAGGAGTGGGCAGGCAGGTCGGTCCCCTTGCATAGTCACACACAGTGCTTCCTCTTCCATCAGGGTGGCTGTTGCATGTGGATGACAACTGTGACTTCCACTGGACAAAGAGCAGCAGAGCCACTCCCAACACCTCCCCACCAGCCTTCTGCACCCCCTCCTTTCCTTCAGCCCCCAGCACCTGGGCTCTCACCCATGCTGCCCACTGTGCCGGTCCCAGCCCCACCTTATGAAAACTGCACCCTAGGTCGCAGGTGTGTTTTCACAGCTGGTTAGGAAACTTCAAATTTTTGCACAAGGCTCAGTGTCCATCTGCTGGCAGTGATAAGACAGATCTGGAGAAGCCCCTGCCGTTGCCTTGGGCTTGCCGGACACTGATGCTGGGGACATCACTGATGCCAGACACATTCACAGGATTCTCCAGCACACCAGCTTCTCAGGGCTTGAGGCCGGTAATGAGTTGGAGATTAGAAACAATTTTTGTGTTATTACAGGACTGTAAAATCTGAATCTTACAATTTTTCTCTTAAATATACTTGCATCACTAGCATTGCTAGTATCTTTCCAGAAGGAAGGGATAATAGTACCTTCCTGTCAGGAAGTCCTATGAAAATTTAAGTTCACAATGTCAGAAGAGGAGAAGCGGAAAACGTTAAATCTGTTTAAGAGAAAACCTGGAGGGTGATTATTGAGCCTCCTCAGAACGCTCGTGTGTGTTTTCTGTCTGCTGCATTTTACTACTTACTCAATAAGTATCTGAATCACTTGTAGTCTATGCAAATGGTATATTGAATGCATAAACTGACAGGGACCTCACCAAGTCCAGTCACGTGTCCTGTGATCTGGGTTTCCCTTCCGCATCCATCCCAGTGGCTGGGAGCTGGGATCCAGGCAGACGGGCACAAGACCTGGAGACTCTCAGCGGGGTGTGGTGTTTCTTTCTGCTTCTCAGTTTTTCATGAAAAATCAGTTGTGGTGCTCATGATGTTTGCAAAAACATCCAAATCTTTGTCTAAAAAATAATAGCGATCTTACAAATCCTAGTTCTTCTCTGTAATTTAATGCAAATAGTAGGAGTTTTATGGATATAAACTCAGGGATGTACAGTGGACTATAAAGAGATGAAATCTTCCATCAAGCTATGTATGCTTAACTGGGGTTAAACTAGTAAAAAAGAAACAAACAGGTATTTCTATTTATAAGTTCATGTACATATGCTTATATCAGTCTCTACTTACAGTTCACATATTTATATGCAAGAAACATGCATAAACACGTATTTTCAAATATAAATTGTTTTCTTAAAGTAGGTTAATGCTTTATTGATTTGCAGGTCTTTTCCAACCTTATTCTGAAAATCAAATCTTTAAGTGTGTAACTAGGTGCTAAAGCGGAGATCTGAGGGTGTATTATTCTAAGATAGATTATTCATGATAATTAGTGTAAATATTGAATCCTTAAGACCATATGTGTTTATTCTAGGAACTTGCTGGACCTTGCTTCATTAAATGTTTAGGAGGTTGAAAACCAATATTGTTCTAATCTTTCCTTTAGGTACAGCAGACAGAGGACTACAGGGCACAAGGGTGCCAAACAGACAGTTGGCTCAGGCCGTACTCATGGTTTCTCTCCAGCAGCCCTTTGTCTCTAGGCTTGGTCCTGCTGGTGAGAACATGGGCTCGCTCCACAACCTAGCTTGTAATGTGGAAGACTGAGGTAGGCTGATTGCAATTTCCAATCTGCTCTGGGCAAGTTAGTGGTTAGTGAGACCTTGTGTCACAACACACATACACACAGTGAGGGGGCCTCCGGATGTAATTCAGCCTGAAGGGCCTGGGTTCAATCCCCAGTACAGGGAAATAAAAACATGGAGTTGACCCTTAAACCAGAGAAGTTTGGACTTACTTCATCAGTGACTACATTTTGAAAATAATAAATTTCATTTTCCTTTTTTCCCCATTTTTTCACTGTCACTGTGTTAGCAAGAAGCTGTGATTCTGCAAGTTTGTAGCACTTGTTCAAAGAGGACCCTGTGACCAGAGAAGTTTATGAGTGCAAACCATGAGGACATCACTGTGAGTTACAAATCCTTCCTGGCCATCATTGAGAATGGGTTTCTTTTAATTTGATGAATTGTAGGCAACTTAAAATCCTCAGGTCCACAGGCCCATAGTGTATTTCTGGTGGGTTCAGTCAAGCTCTGCATGCATGGGTGACACTCGCTGGACAGGCTTTTGAGAAGCTCACATTGTGTTAACCCCAAAGCTTTTTCTGCGTTCTAGGTGAGACCTCATGGACTTTACCACCTGGAGCTCCAACTCCACAGAGCAGTCTGGTTTCATCCTGGTGGGACTCTTCCGTCAATCCACACACCCAGCTCTGCTGTGCCTGGCCGTCTTTGTGATCTTCCTGATGACTTTGTCTGGAAATGCACTCCTGATCTTTCTGATTCACTCTGACACTCGCCTCCACACCCCCATGTACTTTTTCATCAGCCAGTTGTCTCTCATGGACATGATGTACATTTCCACCATTGTGCCCAAGATGCTCATGGACCAGGTTCTGGGTAAGAACAAGATCTCTGCCCCTGAGTGTGGGATGCAGATGTTCCTCTACTTGACACTAGTTGGTTCAGAGTTTTTTCTTCTGGCAGCCATGTCCTATGACCGCTACATGGCCGTCTGCCATCCCCTGCGTTACGCTGTCCTGATGAGCCACAGAGTGTGTCTCCTCCTGGCATCTACCTGCTGGTTCCTGGGGTCAGTGGATGGCTTCATGCTGACTCCTGTGACCATGAGCTTCCCCTTCTGTGGGTCCCGGGAGATCCATCACTTCTTTTGTGAAGTCCCTGCAGTGACAAAGCTCTCTTGCTCTGATACCTCACTCTACGAGATGCTCATGTACCTGTGCTGTGTCCTCATGCTCCTCATCCCTGTGACAGTCATCTCCAGCTCCTATACCTTCATCCTCCTCACCATTCTCAGGATGAACTCAGCAGAGGGCCGGAAGAAGGCGCTGGCCACCTGCTCCTCCCACATGACTGTGGTCCTTCTCTTCTACGGTACTGCTGTCTACACCTACATGCTCCCCAGCTCCTACCACAGCCCCCAGAAGGACATGGTGGTGTCTGTGTTTTACACAATCCTCACTCCCGTGTTGAACCCCTTAATCTACAGTCTTAGGAACAAGGATGTCACAGAAGCTCTCAGGAAAATGTGCAGTGTGAGACCTGCCTTTCCAGACATGATAAGACAGGGACCGTGAGTACTCATGGGTTCTTTTCCTTCTCCCTGTGCATCAGACACACAGGTTCTTATGTGGCTGCTGCTTCTCAGATTCTCACATCATGAGGCTCATCCCACACTGGTCCCTGTCCTGGGAATTGAACCATCATACTGCATAGAGCTCCACTTGTGGCCTCTTTTTCCATTCAAATACTTACAATGGGGTGGCTTTGACATTTTATTTTCTGTAGCTGATGATTGGTCCTTAATCATGTAGAAGAATATTCATATGCTGTGGAGACTCAGGTGAGATATTCAGAGGAAATGGTTGTAAGGTTTTCAACAGAGAAGGGACAGAGAGAAACGATGAAGTGAAAAGGGGCACGTTATTAGCAATGGAGGAGTTTACCTGACATCTACAGGAATTTCATTCTCTATTCATTTTCAAGCTAACCTCCCCTCCCAGAAATGTGGATTTATATACAATTGAAAAGTTAAATATCCATGTGGTCTCTCTTCTTGGAGTTTCTGTGTTGTGCCTGGTAGCAGTGTGACTTTCTATCATAGAATCCATGTTCATTTTTGTGCACATAATACTTACTGGAATGTTTCATTTCTGTGCTCGCCATCAGTGGAGACTGTCTTGTTCTGTGTGCACAGTTGGACTGTGGCAGATTGACACAACATGTATGAAGCTGTGGGGGAAATATTAATTCTGACTGGAAGGAGAGTTTAGGGAATTTCCTTGTGAGAGGTGTTTTCTGCACTGGGCTGTGAGTTAACCTGCTTATTTATAATTCAGTAGAACAGACAGCAGCAGGCACTCAATCTGTCACTTATTCAACACACATCTTATGTTGCATTGTAATACAATAATATATAGAGGGGATTAAAATCTGAATCTCAGAAGTTATTCCTTCAAAAGAACTTGAGCTGTGCCTGTAGCTCCACATACAAATTGATGGCATAAAGACACACAAGGGAAGGACCCCACAAGCCCCCCCTTCTGGCAGCGTCAAGCAACCAACCTGATGTGGGCTCTGTGCCTCAGCTTCCCACACTGCAGATTGTCAGAGCTGAAAACCAATTGGCAAAAGGTGCTGAGGATGAGACCGACATCTCAGAAAAGTTTCAGTCCAGGAAGAAAGCACAGGGTGCTACAGAGACCATCAAGGCAAGCCAACTTGGGAAGGGCAAGAGCTTGACAGAATTCCGCAAGGTCCCTTGAAAAACTCAAGTGCAGGCTGGGAAAATAGCCAGCCTGTGTTCAGGTCTGAGAGTTCAGGTCTGGTGGTGTCAACTTCAGAGGAGGCTGGATGTGAAACGAATGGCATTACACCTGGTGCCCAGTTTGGTTCCAACACCACTGTTGGAGATCAGTGGTCTGATTCCCTGTAGGTCCAGGTCTAGGGTGCCTAAGTGTCCATGCTCAAATCATCGGCTCTTTGGTTCACAGTGCTCTTTAGTGTCCAGTCTATTTTTGAGAGTGTTTTTGCTGTGCTGCTGTACTGCTCTGGCACAGGTGGCACAGCTGTGGCTGTCAGCTGATTTTCTCTGTGGGCCAGTATCCGGATGGCCTGTGGATCACAGACAGTATTGTGCCCCAGCCTCGAAGGATACAACAGGGAGCCAAAACAGCAGCAGCTTCTCTGCAGTATAAACCAACATTGCTTTACATTAGGACAGAAGAAAAGGTTAATAGTTACCTGGGCACAAAATCTCTGTCACAGTGCTACTCACTCTGATCAACCAGGAAATTCCAGCACAGAAAAAACCCCAAAAAACAGAAGCTTGAGAAGATAAATTTCCCCCAAATACCCTCAAAGCTGATTAAGGGGGCAGCAAGAGAGGAACACTAAAGTCAACCAATAGAAACACCTGAAAGGTTATCAGTGAAGGCAGCAAAACAGATCAATAAGTTGCTTGTTTGGTGAATTCAAAGAAGATATAACTAACAGTTAATGACCCTAATGAAACAAATAATCAAAATGTCAAGAGAAGACAATAATAAAAGTCTAATGGAGCTAAAGAAAGAGATACAAAATATGGATACCCAGCACAGAAAATAATTAGAATCCTCAAAAATGTTCCAAAATGACATCCAAGAGATTAAAACTATGACTGAACATATGGGCTGGAGAAGAGACCAGTGTGAAGTATGAGTGGTGGACCTGGAACACAGGGGTGTGGTTGGTGAGTGTTTAAGGAGAGGTGTCATAAAAAAATAAGGGAACATGTAAAATGGATCAACCACCCAGTGTAAGATGCAAACACTAATTAATGTAGGAGTAACTGAAATCAGTGAGAAACCCGAAAGCTGCAGAGGGCAAAAACAACAACAACTACAAGCACCATAAGACCAAACCGCTGCATATAGAAGTAATACCAGAAAACTTCCCAGGCATAGAAAAAGAACTTAATATACAGGTAAATAAGAGTCATGATCTGAAGAAAATCATTGCTTGCCACATCATAATAAAAATACCAGAAATTCAACACAAGACCAAAATCTTTCAAGCCGTTAAAGCAAATTAGTGAGTCTCTTAAAGAAGAAAACCCACCAGAATTACATCAAAATTCCAACACAACATTAAAGGTAAGAATCACTTGGAATGAAGTACCTCAAATCCTAAAAGAAAACAGTTTCTAACCTGGATTCATATATTCTGCAAATTATCTTTCAAATTTGAAGCAGAAAGAAGGTTTATTTGATAAAAACACCTAAGGAAATCCACAACCACCAAACCAAAACTTCCCAAAATTCTTCCAGAAATCTTAGAAAGGGATCATGGAGCTTATAGGTCAAAAGCCCAATAGAAAGAATGCACCAGATGGGGCAAGCAATTAAGTAGAAGGGGAGAAAGGAAACAGCAACAGGAAAATAATCCAGGGGCAGGAATAAATCAATACCTATCAGTTATAACTATTAATGTGAATGGTCTCAATCCATCAATCAAAAGATAGGAATTGGGAAACTCCAGTGAGAAACAGAGTCCAACAGTAGGATAAATACAATAAACACATTTACTCTCAAAAGAAATTCATAGTCAAAAAATTGAAGATTGGAGGATATTTTCCATGTGGTTGGAGTCCAAAAGCAGCAGGGTTAGTGCTCCCATTTTCAGGCAAAGTAGATTTTAAGCCAAAGTTAATCAAAAGAGGCAAACAATGATGCTACTGGTTAACAGAACTACTCAAAGCAAGACAACCTGCACCGCACCCAACTTTGTTACAAAACCTGCAGTGGAAATCAAAGACTAGATAAAGAGCATTATCATTATCAGTACTTCACTATCACAAATAAACAGATCAACTAAACAAAATATCAGAATTGAATCAAATCTTTGAACAAACAAGCTTGATAGATATATAAGGAATGTTCCACCCAAAAACCACAAAATATACTTCTTTTTGACAAAAATAGAACATATCTTAGCCAGAGAACCATGATTAAATAAATATAAAACCATCTAAATTTTATCAATCACACAAACATATCTCAGAGTGACAAAACCAGACATCAATGGCAAAAGAGCACAGAAATCATACAAAGATATGACATTTAACAAACTCTTGAATAATTACTGGGTCACACAAGAAATTAAAGACATAAGACAGTTCCTAGAATTAAATGGTAGTGCCAATAGAGCATACACATATCCATGGGATACACTGAAAACAGGCCTAAGAGAGAAGTTGATAGCTGAGCATGCCCACATCAGAAAAACAGATTAAGTCCAAAGAGATAACCTAATTCTGTGCCTCAAGGTCCTTGAAAAATAAGCACAATCAAAATCCAGATCTTGTGCGAAGAAGTAAATTTTAAAGACTAGAGAAGAAATCAATATAAGATAAAAAGAACAATGCATGTGAAAAATGAATTGAAAATCTGGTTCTTTGAAAGACTAGACAATATAGACAAGCCTTTAAAAATTCTTACCAAAAAAATAAGACTCAAATCAATGATATGAACAATGAAAGTGATGTGGCCTAAAAGAGGCACAGGTCATGTGTTGATCACAGTAAATGTGTGACAGTGAGGACAAGGAGACCTGTGATGTTTTGCTCATGAATAATGAAAAATGTTGTTTTTCCACAGTAGAACTGAATTATTAAGGAATAATAGAATCTAAATCACGTGAAAAATACCATTAGTTTGTATAAGTTACCTTTTAGACCCTAAAGTAAATTTCTGGAAGAAATTTAGATCTGTGATTCTGTGAGTTTTGAAGCCATTACTTTTTTGTCCACAATTGAAGTGAAGAGGAAAGAATTATGGCAAGGCAGATACAAAGGCTGGAGGAGGCTCAGCTTTTCCAAAAGGACTGTCTGGATGACAAGACTCTGATTGGTGACCTTAATGAAACATGTGTGGAATTCCTTATATACAAATTTATTTAATTTTAAAAAAGAAATGAAAGGGGTGATATCACAGTGCACACCTCTGGAATCAGAGCACTATTAATAACTACCTCACAAGCTGTCCACCACACACTCGAGAACTCAGAAGAAAAGGAGAGATTCCTAAATGTATAGAAATTACCAAAACTGAACCAAGAAGACTTAAAACTCCTGAAGTCAACAACAGGCTATTATATTAAAGCGCTAAAAAAAAATCTACCAACTAAGAAAATCCTAGCTGATGTATTGTCGTCCGAATTCTATAAGAACTTCAGAGAAGATGTAATATCAGAATCCCTCAAACTCCTTCACAAGGGGAGAAGCGCTTCCAGAGTCACTCTTGGAAGCTGGCACTATCCTGAGTCCAAAACCAGACAAGGACCCAAAGACAAACAGAACTACAGGTCATTTCTTAAATGAACACAGATGAAAAAATCCTCAACAAGATATTGGCAGACAGAATGCAACACATCGTCAAAAATATTATGATCAACTGGGCTTCCTCTCAGAGATGTAAGGATGGTTCCCAATGTAAGGCGAATCCCAATCAATAAACAGATTCATCACATAAATGGATTCATCACATAAACAGAAGCAAGTGCAAAAATAACACGATCATCTCAATAGATACAGAGAAAG